CAATATTTATCTATGAATCGAAAAAATCAAGTTGTTTTCATTAAATCAATATTGTTTTCACAGCTAGAATTGTTCCTTTAATAACTACCTACATTTGAGACAAACATTCAAAGCTATAGGGGATAAATCAAAGTTATAGGGGATAAAAGAGCAGGGTAATTTAATGTGATATTTTTTATACTTCTTTTTATGCTTTTCTACTTCTTATATAGATTATTTGCACTTTGATGGAGATAAACTATCAAAATGTCCTATTTATTTAACCCTGTACCTGTATTCGTGTCCAACCAGCACACATTATCTCATCATTTAAATGTTCCACCTGTTAAGTTAAACTAAATTCATTGCATTAAAAAGCTCTGCCTGTCTAAATGTTATCAGTAAGAAGGGCCTATATAGACTTTCCTAAACCTTGTTTTTAGATATATAGTGGCAGTGGAAGAAAAACAGTTAAACCTATTTTTATTTTCAAGTCCATTCAGATTTAGGGATACATTTTAAGAGAAAGAAACAAAGTAAATAACTTCTAACTAGCTGAGAAAGATCTTTGTTTCCTTTGCCAAGTGGGCTTCAGATAGATTTGCTTCCTCTTTGATTTCCAGTATTTCCAAGCATGAGAGCAATAGATCAGCCCAGGCGTCCAGAGAACAGCCTCTATCTTTAGGTTTAGCTCAGGATTTCACTGTTTTCCAGGCTAACCAGGATCCTGAAAAAGCGCCAGAGGGCCGAAGAGCTCCTTTCAGGGTCTGCTTGCTTTATGTCCAGTCTCCCTAACCGGGTTCAGGCATTTTAAATAAACAACAAACACACACAGCATATATTCAACGAAGCAGAGCGTTAGTTTTATGCTTTAGTTGCTTCTGGTCGAAGTTCGACACAGCTACGCAACACTGGTGCTAAGTCTCATTAGCTTCATATTAGCCTGTTAGCTCGACAGCATTAGCCGCTGGGGTGGACGAGCTTTTAGACACGGAACACCGCGGATTCCTAAAGGTTACCCACCCAGCTGAGCATCATGTTACTCTGGTATCTTTATAGATAACCGGTGTGTCCTGTGGGGTAGAGGCAGTGGCCGGAGCTGGCAGAGTACCTGGTGTAAAATGGCAGCCTTAACGTCGATAATGAGTCAGGAAAACACTCGGCTAACCGTGTAGCACTAGCCAGCTAGCTTTTAGCTAAAGCCATCAGAGATTAACGCCAATAAATACCAATCAGGGCTTTAAAACACATTCTTACCATTTTAGGATCGTCGCTATGGCTCGTTAGTCGCTGTTGGGATCGTTTCCAGGCCTACAGAGTCGTTGTTCCCCCCTGTGTTCCTGTGCTCACAGTGAGCCCGTTCACCGCCGCTGCTCCGCTTCGCACAAAGATCAGCAATGTACCAGACGCCTTCACGGGCCTCCGGAATTACCACTTATCACCACTAAGAAGCGTCTAAATAAAATACCAAATAACTAAATAAATCCATATTTAACGTCCCCGAGGAACGAAGAATTGATCCAACTACCAAACTTATATAAATAAATGCCTGACCCAAAAGTCTTTAAGATATTTAAAATAGTAGTTAATCCATGTGCATGTGAATCTACATCATATGACTCTGAAATATACATCACATATAGTAATGATAAATATACATTTAATTTAATATATAAAAGCAATTGATCTGGAAAAAAATCCCTCTTTTCACTTAACATATTAAACCTAGAGAGTTCACTTACATTTGTAATCTAAAGATGATATTTATCACACTGAAAATGAAATTCATTACTTTTATGCCTTTAAGTAGATCAGTTAAAGATGATGTAAAAAGTCCTTTTACTAAATATATCTAGTTATTTTTGAAAAAGGGCAGGGTAAATGGATAAATAAAACAGGAGCAGCCATCTGTATTTTTCATCGCAATGAAATTTCCAAGCTGACCGACATACTCTGAACGCCCCTTCTGCTCTTCAGAGGGCGGATGGTAAAAACTACAAACTTGGCTGCACGTTTGTTTCTGTTTGGAGGTTCCAGTGTCTCTTGCGCATGCGCAGTTTTGCAGTTTCGGTCTCATGACGTGACGAATTGTTCACATGGGAGGCAGCAGCACGACTCTGACATTTAGCGCAGTTTGCTTTTAACTGTTGCGTTTAAGTAAGATGTAAACTTCTCAAATGGAAAAGCAAAATAATATAAAAGTTCAATAACAACAAATAAATCACAGATTCGTGGTCTGTTACAATGGCTGTAGGATTGTTTTAAGAATAAAGTTCAAAAGATCACAGTAGGGTTTTTTTAAAGATGATTTTTTTTAAGTTTCTAAAAGTCCATTTAATAAAAAAGTTGCGTCATAATCATCATCATCATCTTCAGTCTCCATCCATACGCCTGCTCTTCAAGCAAAGCGCGACCTCTGCTGGTGAAGGACAGAACAACAGAAACACTACCTTCTAACAGCAGTATCTGTTCATCTGCTGTTTATTTCTGTAAGAAAACAAGTTTTTTCTCCTTATATATTACTGTAAAATTATATTCCACATTTTTATTTATTTAAATTTTATTTAACCAGGAAAAAATCCAATTGAGATTAAAAATCTCTTTTTCAAGGGAGTCCTGGTCAAGAGGCAGCAACGTAATATAATAAACAGAGATTCATTAAATTAAATGACAGGTACATAAAAAAACATATCAAGTAAAATAATTACAGCTGCTTCAAATTATTTCACTTTCAGCATTTAAAGATAAAAACTCAGTCAACTTCCAGTTTCTTTGTAAAACATTCCAGGCACTGGGAGCTGCGTAGCTAAAGGGTTTCTTCCCTATTTTTGTACGGGCAAAAGGAACAGAGAGCAACAGCTGATGGTTGGATCTCAGAGCATAAGAAGCCATGCTTTCCTGTGTAAATAAGGTACAAATGTAAGAGGGCAGTAATCCAAGAAGGACCTTGTACATACAAAGTTTACCAATGACACTGCCTTGTCATAGAGAGGGAAGGCCATCCCACCTGAGAGCAAAGGTCACAGTGATTTCATGGCTCTACAGTTTGTTATGAACCTTAATGAAGCATGGGAAACGGAGTTCAACATTTGAAGACATGAAGAAGTAGCATTCTTATAAAAAGGTCACCGTAATCTAAGACCGATAAAAAAGTGGCAGAGACAAGGTGCTTTTTTACTCCTAAAGAAAAACATGTCATATTATGAAATAAGAAGCCCAGTTTAACACTTAATTTCTTCAAAAGTTTATTAATAAAAGGTCTGAAGGTGACAGGGTCATCAATTACATTTCCAAGGTATTTATATTCATGTACCGCCTGAATTACATTCCTCTCTACAGTGGACACTACTGGCAGGGTTTGAGGTACCTTCCTATGATTTGAAAACAACATAAACTTTGTTTTGTCAAGATCTTACCAAACAAGGCAACAGTGCCTCTGAAGGCACTGTTGCCTTGGAGAAAGAAGGTGTTTTGGTTTAAATCCCAGTGGAACTGTTTCTGTAGGAGTCTTCTGTGTGCTTTCTCTCATCCAGGGAGCTACAGACATGCAACAGCCCTTCCAGGACTCTAAGAATAAGCAGGCCTGGACATCTTTCATGCAATTTTATTTTTTATAATTTCGTCATTAACACTCCTCCACAGCTGCCTTCAAAGCAGCTTTGTTTTCTGTTTTGATCAATTAAACTCTTATTTAATCTCAGATTAGCTTTATTGCCTCTATTTATCATCAATGTATATACAAACACAAAAAGAGAAACACAATTATACAAAATATGTTCTATTCAACCAGTGGAAAGTTAAATACACCAGTTACTGCATGTTGATACTGATAAGATGCACAATTGATGAATGTTGTTTTAGTCAAAGGTTTACATACACCATCATCAGCTTTACCCTTTTATTTGATCTGATCCTGCAAACTGAGCCTTCAATTGTAATTGATAAGCTGAATACAAAGAATAAAATATATAATCTGTGTAAAATAAGACTGGATAAGGTTAGCGTACCAATTGAACTCTTTTATTGAAGTAAAAGTAAAAAAGTCGGGTTCTACATTACATTAAGTACAAACGTAACAAAGTTTGTCCTCAAATTATAGAAGAAAAATAATTTAACAACTGTATTCTTGCAAAAAAAAAAAAAAAAGGTCCGCTCACCATGTTGGTGGAGAGAACAATAAAATCTTATGCTGACTTGGTCTAATTCTGTTCTAAACTCATATTTCAGTCAGTTTAATAGAGACTGGACCGAACATGAATCCGGCATAAATGGCAAAATTTGTTTAAAGCTCTGGTATTTACAACATTAAAGTTGTAAATTGAATTAAAATTGAAATAGAATGTAAATGTATGAACTAATAGAGTATGAATAAATAGATTAGATCATCTCCAATGTTTCCCAAACTCCTGTCTTCACCCATATCAGAGTGTTACTATAAAATGGAGCCTAGGTGGAAGTTCAGCTGAATAAACTGATTACTCGCCTTCATTCGCCAAAGACACAGCCAAACAGCTTTGAACCAAGCCTCCACAAAAGCCAATCAGCATCCAAAGTTCATCTTAAAAGGCCTCTGATCCACAACTCGTCTGCTACCTAGTGGGCAGGCAGCGGTTGCTCTATGTCTGACTTCAATTCAGATCAACCCACCTCCACCATCGTAGCTAAAGCTTCATCAGAGTGTCATTCCTTCCAGACTGCGTTCCATGTCTCTTCTCAACCGGTCCGACAGAAAACCGCCATGTTGAGCCTGGTTCTGCCAGAGGTTTCTTCCCATTGGGGAGTTTTTCCTCTCCACTGTCGCTTCATGCTTGCTCATCATGGACAGGTTCTCTCAACCTTTGTTGTCCAACTGGACTTCCATCTTCCAGGTCCCGAGTGAAGCTCTAGTATCAGCTCACGCAGTCCACTGGATCTCCCCATAAAGCTCAGCAGACCGTCTCTCTAACCAGCAGTCTACAGACTGACCAACTTCATCTATCTCCACTCCACCACCAGTTTCAGGCCTGGGGGGGAAACAGCCCTTTTCTTTGCTCCTGTTCATGCATATCAAACAAAATTCAGCGCTATGTATCCTGCCGAGGTCTGAGCAACAAGACCAAGTAATTGTATCAATAAATTTCTCCTATTTGTCGTTTCTCTCCTTGTGCGTTTTTCTGATTGAACTTATCAGGCTCCAGTCGGACAGATGATCCTCCTGATTTCCCCTGTTTATTGCAACATGTTGTTATCCGTATATTAAGAAGTAACGAGCCAGTTTGGAGAAAATAAAGAACAGAAATACTGATAATTGTGTCAAATGTAGTCAGTAAAAGTAAAAAGTCCTTAGAAAAATAAATACTAAAGTGTGAACACTGTTATATAAGAGTAGTAACTAAGTACTTAAACTTGGTTACTTGACACCTGTGGCTTTCAGGACTATGCAGAGGTCCCATCTGATCTTTGGTTAAATTTTCATCAGCAGGTAGCAGAGAAATCCCATGTTGCAGCTTCTGGCATCATTATAACGGAATAATTAAGCCTCCTCCTTGCTGAACTGCTAGTTCATTTAAATCTCCTGGATATTTGGAGCAGATTCTATTTTTTCAGGAAACAGTCCACAGATTTGCAAGCAGTCGGATCCATTCCAGATTTTTTAGGTTACACTTTAGAAACTCCTCAAGTCAGAATGCAAAACTACGTCCAAGTCTCAACTTCTTGAATTACCTAGAAGGAAACAGGACCAAACACTGTCCACAATGCGGACAGGAACCAAAGAAACAGCTGTTATGGACCATCTAACTGCCTTTTATAATTCAGTGATAACAATTCCTTTCCTAACCTAAGAGCGGGGCACGGTGGTGGAAGCATAATGCTAAGGGATGTTTCGCTGTCATTGCATAAAGTGGATAAAAAATAAAGGAGGAAAGTCGACCGATCTAAATAACCTCTCATTTCTGCCAATAACGTTGGTTCAGTTTACAGCCAGAATGATGCAGAAAACATTCAACTAAATGTTAGTGGAGCTGTTTGGATATAGATGAGTCTGTCCTGATTTGGAGCATGTAAGAGAGAATCCATAATATGAATACATTTCTGTTCAGTTCTTGTTAAAAAAATCCCTGAAGCAGTTTGACTTTGGATAATTAACCCAGGAAATAGAGAAACGACCTGATAAATAGCTTCAAGATAAAAAGTTATTTTGATATTCAAGTGTTTGATGAGTGGATGGAAACCTTGGACCAGAACCGTGGGTTATATGTCTATAGCTGTGTTTAGCAAAAGTTTAGCAGCCAGTTGAGACAAAAAGAAGACGAGCCGCTCGGTCACCTCATCAGGACCGACGTTTCCTCTATCATCTGCTTCTTCATCTGGAAAAACATGGAGGACAGGAACAGGAAGTAAATATCTCCAGGACAAGTTCAGTGAGATATTCTGTCAAAAAATATCATCGCTTATGTAAACATACAAAACTAAATCCAAAAAAAGCATAATTTAATTAAAGCAAGACTAAATGTACAGAAAAAGATCTAACAAGCAATTTAAAGGATTTTACAGAAATAAACACTAAATAAATAAAGGTTAGGGAGTTTTTTTTATTTATTCTGTCATCGAAAATGTAAACTTACTAATTTGATAGTTCAGGTGCTTAATTTAGACAATTTTGTTGACTAATCTTTTTTTTTATTAATTCTGTTGCTCTATTTAACACTAATCTATTTTAATCAAGTTTGCATGACAAAGTAAATTCAACTGAACTTAATTCAATTCAGTTTATTTCTATAGCACCAATTCACAACACATGTCATCTCAAAGCTCTTTACAGTTCACAAGATCATCCAGTCAAATTGATTCAAAGTTTTCTATCTAAGGAAAACCAGTTGATTGCATAGACTCATTAACCAAAAGGCAATCTCTCACACTAAGCATGCTTGTAGCGACAGTGGAGAGAAAAAACTCCCTTTTAACAGGAAGAAACCTCCAGCAGAACCAGGCTCAGTGTGAGCGGCCATCTGCTGAGGCCCACTGGGGTTCAAGGAGACAGAAGCAGAAAAACGTAAGAGATTAATATAATGAATGTCTAAAAATGGTGGAAATAAATAAATAAATAAAAAGCTTCAACAATGCATTAAAAATAGTAAAGAAATATCTAGTGCTGTTGTCAGAACTATAAGATGATTCTGAATTTGCAAAGCTTGAAAAGATGAAAACCAAAACAAATGTTCGATAAAATAAATGTGTTTCATCTTAGGTTGTTGTTATGAATAATTAAATTATTTAAAATGTAAGTCAAATGAAAAGTTTTCTTTTTAATTAGAAATCAGATAAAAGGTCTAAATGAGAGGCTCTGGGGTCTGTTGTGTATCAGCACACCACGTGTAGCCTAGATTTTAGACCACACACCCCTCCTCCCTCCCACCCAGGATGCTGCAGGTGTTGGTTCTTAGACCTGTTTCTGTTTCCTCCTTGCTTGCATCATTTCCTGCTGCTGCTTCAGCCGTACTTCCTCCAGACTCATGCAGCCGCCTGTAAACGCAGCACAAACAGTCAGAGGTGAGGCCGTAAACGCCACACCTACGAGGCGTTTAGACGTCTCACCGACGGTGCTGGGGTCGATGGACACGTAGGACACAGCTCTGCTCAGACGCAGCTCCTCCAAAGCAGCCAGCTCCGCCTCTGCCTCTGCTCAGCCAATCAGACGGACAGCATCACTCAAACTGTAATTTACATCCAGCTGCTCCTAATTAAGGCAAGGCTGATTGAACAAACATGTGATCTCACTTTTCTGGATCTCTTTTCGTTTCTTTGGGTCCGGAGGGATGACGGTGAAAGCTTTGTGACTGAAACAGGAAAAGAGGCTTGTTATTTCATTTAAAGTTCCTGGATCAGATCGTTCAGAAAGCTACAAATAGTCCAGATCTATGAGAAAAAAACAATTTTCTATGTAAATACAAAGCAAATCAAATGAATCGAGCTAGATTTGCACTGTAGAATGAGGTCAAATTTGTCCACATGCTCACATTAAATGGAAGATTTGAATATTTTCTTATATCTTTTTTCTAAATGGTTTCCTCTACTGATAATATTCAAATCATAACTAATAATGTTGGAACAATCATGTTCTGTGTGGAAAGCTTAAAAGCAAAGTGTTATTATTAAGAGGCGATACGGCCCTTAGCTCGGGGTGGCATGACTCAGAGGGCCCCAGTCGGCCTCGCCAGATGGCCGCTCACCCTGAGCCCGGTTCTGCTGAAGGTTTCTTCCTTTTAAAATGGAGTTTTTCCTCTCTACTGTCACTACATGCATGCTTGGTGTGAGGGATTGCTGAAGAGTCAACGACAAAATGCACGCAAAAATAATCACAGCAAGCTCACCCAGGAGGAGCATCTCTTTCTCATGTAAACAAAACATAAATATCTATAAACATTACATATGGGTCAAGTGATTGAAACAGGCTCTAGTTAAAAAAAAAACACATATTTCATGACAGCAGAACTATAATATGGAGTAAAACCTCAACCAGTAGGCTAATAGTTGTGTATTTTGTGAAATAATTACCAAATGTATCAGTTCTGTAGTAGTTCTGCCCAGAATGGAACTATGGGACGCCCTACTAACCTAAGCTGCTGTTCTTCTGGTGGCGCAACTCTCCTATCTCTATTGCTCTGGTTGTGAGCAGCAAAGATGGATCTCTATTGGTCTGCTTGGACTTTAGCAACAACATTGTTATTGGTCAAAGTATGCATCATTATTGGGCATAAAATGAAATGAAATACGCAATATGAAAAGAGTACCATTCATAAAACTCAACAAGGAAAAAAATAGCATTTGAAAACAATCTGTAAAAAAGAAAAAAAAAAAAAAAGAATATTGAGAAAAAAATATATAAAAAAAATAGAATCTCAAAAAAATTTAAAAGTATTTCTGGTTTTTAATTGACAACGTTTGTGAACTGTTTTTTTTCTAATTTGTATTTACAAAACATGTTTTTTGTTTGCAACAATAATGGAACAAAATTCACTTCATATTTTCATGGCACGTAAAAATGTAAAAACTACAATATAGACATAAACATCTGAAAAATGAAATTAAAATATATATTTTTTTTAAAATCTGCTTTTTTCCCTCATCTCAGACAGACAAACTCAGATATCTATTGCTATTGACTAGCTTCATCCTCGTGTTTCCATTGTGTAATAATGTGAATTAGAATCTCTCCAGAATCAGTACAGCAGTTTACATTTCTGTTCCTATCCGCGGTACAGTTCCCATGGTTCAAACCATGACAGGGGAAGGAAGAGGAGCTCGGTGCTACAGTGGGACCAATTCAGATGCAGCCCTTTATTGCATACGGAGGAGGGACGCATCCAAACGTTGCAGGATACCAGTCCTGAAGGACATGTGCTAAAGCAGCAACAATTATAGAAAATCTGGTGACTGGTGAGATGTCCAGACGACAGTCATTGACATTATTCACATGGAGGGGAGGCCAGAAAAGATCATGTCTAAATTAAAGGCTCTAAACAGTGTCCTAGACGCAAGAATAATAATAGAGATTTAAGTGGAAGAAAAAGGTGAATCATGAACAAGAATACATGCAAAATACACTTAAGAAGCAGATGGAGCTTTAGAGGGAGCTGGAATCAGCATAACAAATGAATCCAACACATAAGATCCAACTGTCTCATCTGGGGGGAGGAGAACCAGACTGTTGCTGAATGGTCAAAGGGCCAATAAAAATAAAGTTTACATTTCATTTAGAAATGAAGTCTAGAGGAAGAGTGGAGAGACAGAGGATCCACTGTGGTTGAACTTTCCTGTCAGTGATGGTTTGGTGCCATGTCAAGTTCTGGTTCTGGTCCACAAGGTTTCTAAAGTGGTAGGAGTTACTAGTAGTTCCTAGAATTTCTAAAAGTCTTTTAGTTATCAGCTCCTCTCCTGTGGAACCAACTACCAGTTTTAGTCCATGAGGCAGACACCCTGTCTACTTTTAAGGCTAGGCTTAAAACTTTCCTTTTTGATAAAGCTTATAGTTAGAGTGGCTCAGGTTATCCTGAGCTATCTCTATAGTTATGCTGCTATAGGCTTAGACTGCTGGAGGACATAGGGACCCCCATTTCATCATTCTGCTTCATTCTATCTCTCTATTCTATTCTCCCTCTCTGCAGAATCTGTTAGTTCAATCTCTAATGTTCTGCTCTCTCTGCTTTTTCTCATAGTAGCTTCATCTGGTCTGTTCCTGTTTGGCTGTGACTCCATCCTGGAGAGAAATATCAGCTGTGCTGCTGCCATCAACACCTTTGTTTGCCCATTGTCTGCTGGAGATAGGCACCAGCACCCCTCACGACCCCACTAGGGACAAGCGTGTCAGATAATGGATGGATGGATGGACATCGGCCTGTTTTTCAGTGTAGTCCTGTTTCTCTGACTGTGACTGGCTGGATGTGCTCTCTTTCATCCTCCTACGTGGGAGCTGGCTCAGAACTTGTCTACCTGGCTGTGTGTTTTTTGGACAGGGCCGCTTGTGGAGTTTGTTGACAGTTCCTGGAAGGGGCCGCCTTTTACAGTTGCCTTTAGTATCTCTGCTTCTGCCTCCTTGAACCTCAGTCAGCCTCAGCAGATGGCCGCTCACACTGAGCCTGGTTCTGGTGGAGGTTTCTTCTTGTTAAAAGTGAGGGATTACATCCGAGTCAATGATTCAATGCAATCAACTGGTTTTCCTTAAATAGAAAACTTTGAATCAATCTGACTGGATGATCTGGTGAACTGTAAAGTGCCTTGAGATGACATGTGTTGTGAATTCGCACTATATAAATGAACTAAATTGAATTGAAATCCACAGTTAGTACAGAAATCTACCAGGACACTCAATAACTTCATACTCCCCTCTGCTCACAGGCTTACTAGAACTGTGATTTCATTTTTCATCTGAACCTGGGACCAGCCCACACTGCCAAAGGTACAATAAGCTGGTCCACTGAGCCCGGTTCCCTGTTTCTGCCTGGACAGCAGACTTATCTGAACAAAACCTCATAGAGAAACTATGGAGGAGGGTGCAGGAGGGAAGACGAGAAACACCAGAACCGCTGATGATCTGAAGGTCGCTATCAAAGCTTCTACTGGACCTCATCAGAACCTCATCAGAACTTAGGCTGATCTCCATGTCGCGCTGCATTAATGTAGTAATTCAGGCAGAAGGAGCTTAAATGGAAAATATTTGTATACATATAGTTTTATGTTAATAGAGCTGTAAGGTGGTTCTCTATCAGAAATTGACATGTTTTAGAGTCTGTGCAATGTTGGTCTACGGTGAGTATTTATTGCATTCATTAACCGAATTAGGTGGGGATTATTTCAATAATTGATTAATCAAAGTTAATCTGAATCATCATTCCAGTCACAATTGAATTCAGAGTAATGAACAAACTGTTCAGAAGTTTGGCTAAGTTATTGAACTTTATTGGTGTTCTAGTTTTCCTAGACACTGAACTTTGTTTTTTCTTAATCTTTAGGCAATACCTATAGAGCGTCCTTTATGCAGAACCTCTATTTAGGCTTCTTCAGATTCTCTGCTTCCATGTTGGAACAAAGCAGTTACACTCATCTTAAAATCATTACTTTACATCTGCAGGAACGGTTTCATTTATAATATAGTAAGATGCATCTAGGATCATCTCATCTTTCTGCAGAGCATATAGAGACATTTCTGTACAATCGGTTGTGCAATTAGTGGACGTCTTTTGGCTGCAGTAGATCCGCCATAGGTCAGTTCTGTCAGTGGGAGGTAAAACTTCTGGGGATTAACCTGCTGTAGCAGATGGCTACAGACAGCAAAACCGAGCAGGATATTTTAGGACTGCTGCAGCCTTTCACAGCAGGATGCATGGAAATGTTCCCATATCCAAACACAGGTGGCAATTGTTGATTAGTGTTTTAAATTTTTAACTAAGGGTTTTAAATCATACTTAGCCTATGATATAAAAGAACAAACTTTTTTTTTTTTTTTTTTGCAAAAACAAACATTCAAAGATCAAAAGCAAAGAGGAAGTCTTATAAATATTTCTGTTGATTGAACATTTGCATGTGATAAAAAAAAAAAAAACACAAAATCATCAGAGGAGGGAAGTAAAATTTCTGAGTATTTAAGGCCTAAATTCTGACTCTAAACAAGGCTTTGACTAATTAAACACATGCATCTAACTCCAAAGGCACACCAAAAGAAAAATTGAGTGTATCAATCCATTAAATATTAACTTTTTTTTGTCATGTTTTATTTATTGAAAAAGCAACAATGCCCCACATCGATCTTGATTTATTTTATGCCTTTCATTCGATTTAATAAAAAAAATAATAAAATCATTAGCAGAGCTGTAGGGAACTGTTTGTTTTTTGTTTGTTTGTTTTTTGTTTTTTTGCGTTAAAAGTAATAGTTGTATCCAAAAATCATAATAACCATGTTTTAGAGCAGAATCCTAATTTCTGCAAGCAGCACAGTAACTTCCATCAGAAAGAAACACATAAACCTTAAAACAGTGATTATAAGTAAAACATTTTTAAACTAAGAGTATTAACCTTTAATTTAAGTAGGTAAATAAGATAATATGCATTTGAAAACAGACAATGCAGTTGTTTTTTCTTATTTTAGATTTAGATTGTCTTGTTCATTGGCAAAGTGTCTCACTTCCCTCTTCAACTCAAGACAAAAGGCACTTATTTTAAGAAAAAAATGACTTATTTTATTTTATTTTATTTATTTTTTTGCAGTGTGCTCACACTGACTCAGCTGTTCTCACCTCTGGATCAGTTTCTTCCCCTCAGACCTGGAGCACCGCAGCTCCTTCACAGCCGGACCCCCGGTGGGCCCCCGGCTGTGGAGGGTCGGGTTGGCATCAGCCTGCCTCACAGAGCTGGAGGCCCTCCTGCGCCCCGGCTCTGTTCCGGTGCTTCTTTCCGCGGGTTTGGCTCCCGATGGTTTGGGGGCTAAGGATGCGGACCTGACTCTCTTCTCGCAGGTCAGTTTGCACTCCTGGCCCCCTGTGTTTGATACTGTGGGGCCCCTCTGGCTCTTGTCCCGCTGCTGCGGGCCCCTGGAGCAGCTTGACGCGCGGGTTTTACGCACGGAGGGCGCTTGAAGCTGACCGCCTGCCCGGCTGCAGGCTGCTGTCGGCCTCACAGGTTTGTTCTTCTTCGACACCTCCGCTGGTTTGGGCTTCAGGATCATCGTTGAAGGCATTTTTAATTAAATACAATCTGTTTGGATCCAAATCTGATTTGACTCGGAAGAAGCTTCATTTTCATGCTGCCACCTTAAGAAAAAAAAAATCTTTAAACAAAACAACAAAAATAAACACATAAATCTTTCTACTTTGTTTAACCTCTTGATCCTGTTGCTATGGAGCTGGCTCCCTGGCAACCCCACGGTCAAGTCCAACAGACAGGACAGGAAACAAACTTCACAGACCTTCACAATAAAAGCCTTCCCTTTCCTGCAAAACCTCGATTTTTAAAGAAACTTGAAAACATCTCGGATCAAATTGAAGTTTAGATAAAATACATCAACACTTTTATCTCAAATATTAAAACCTAAAAATGTAAACAGTAGAAACAACATAGGATGTGAGGAAAGTATTGCTTTTCACATAAATGTTGTTTATAGGCCTGTCTAGCTATATGCTTATATAAATACATAGAATAGAATAAAATAGAATAGAATATTAGGCATTAGGTAGAATAGCCCAAAGTACACTTTAGTAAGTGAGTAGCACTATGTAAATGTTTTGTTTACTTAAGTTAAAATAATAAGTAGCCATCCAAGAAACTACTTACATAAGATTAAAAAATATATATTTTATAAGACTACTCAAATACTCTGAAATTAATATTTTAAAGTAATCTACTTAGACATTAGAAATATAGTAATAAAGCTCTTAAAGACTAGAATATAAAAATATTCTAAATATAAGATTATTACAAAATCAAAAATTGAGACAGAATATGTTTTTCTTTGTTTTTTAATCATAAAACTTATGAAAACAAACATTAATAAATGCCAAAAGTATTTAGTCTTCTGCTACTCTTCATCTGTCTGGTCAAATTTGTTGGCAGAGCCACACTTCCAGCTTCCAATATCATTGGAAGCCGGCTTCCTCCCACTGTCCAAAAACATGAATGGAAGGTTTATTGGCTTCTGTCATTTGTTTGTGTATACATGCTTGTATCTCTCTGTGTTGTCCTGCTTCAGACTGGAGACCTGTCCAAGGCGTATGCCCCATAGACTGCAGGCCCAACCGTGACCCTGATGAAATAAGCGAGAGAAGATATACAGGACAAATCTATGAGATTCTTTTTTATTTGCTTATCTTGTGCCTTTATCGAGGTCCTTTACTGCAGATTGTTGTTTTTTGTGCATAAAGTACATGTAGTTTAATTAATGACTTTGTGTAAATCTGAGCAATGAGCTGTATTCTACAAAAACAGCTACTGCTTTTATTTTGAAAAACAACTCACCTCGTTTTCTTTTAGCTTGACTGACTGCGCAGGCGCAGATTAGATGACGCAGCAGTCTCTGCAGGTGGTGTTGGCTCACCTGTTGGTTCCTAAACGGAGGATGATCGGATTACTGACCCGCGCGCCACCCTGCACGTGTCACATGACCGCGCACGAGGATCTATTATACAGACGCTGGGCTCTTTTTTTCTCCATTGCTCTGTTATTTATTATATTAACTATTTACTAGTTATTGATTTATGATATTGTTTTATTAGTTATTGATTTATTATATTGTTTTATAAGTTATTTGTTTTATTAGTTATTTATTAGAAGCAGCCAAATTCTCCAGAGTTTCTCTTAAAACTGTCACTCATTTTAAAACCAGGAGTCAATCTTAAAACTTATACAATAACAAGGTTTTGCTTTTTATTAAACATAATGATGCTGCTTCTCTCACACTGAGATATCATGAAATACAGATATTAAAGATGATTTTAATACAATTAATTTTAAGGTTATTTAGCTCTTTTTCTGGAGGATGGGATTACTCACATGCTTTGGTATCATCTGGAGCTGGAATCCTAATTTCTATCTAATCTCTTGTTATTAAAATTGCAAACTAACAGAATAGAATGGTATGGAATAGAAAATCCCTTTATTGTCCCACATTGGGTAAATTCAGGTGTTACAGCAGCAAAAAGATTATAGAAAATGATAGAAAGTGTAGATACATGGAAGGGGAATATGAAAAGGGAAGGACTAGACCAAAAAAGCAAATGTCCTCTACTGTAGGAGCAGTTTAGAGGACAAAAAGATATTTTCAGCACATATACAATAAACTACCATGTAATTACGCTAAAATCAACTAAATACATTTAAGTTCAGTCACAGATGAAGTACAACGCATTCAGCTCAGTTTACGTCCAGCTGGTTGAATCAAGTGGTTAACTTGGTATAAATTCTTCCATCTCAACATCCATCCGGACTGGTGCAGAGATAACAGCCTGATCCTGAACGTGGAGAAGATGAAGGAGATCATCTTGGACTTCAGGAAGAACCGTCCTAACCACGCTACACTGGTCATCAACAGGTCAGCTGTAGAGGTGGTCAGCAGCACCAAATTCCTGGGGGAGCACATCACACACACCCTCACCTGGACTGGAAACACCACCTCACTGGTCAAATAGGGCGCAGAAGCGCTTGGACTTCCTGCAGAGGATGAGGAGAGCCCACCTGCCCCCACTCATCCTCACCACCTTCTCCAGAAGCACCATAGAGAGCGTTCTGAGCAGCTGTCTCACTGTGTGGTGTGGAGGCTGCAGCGCCTCAGACTGGAGGAAGGTGAGAACAGCAGAGAAGATCATGGGGGCTCCTTTTCCCTCCATTAAAGACATTTCATCCCAGCGCTGCATGTCTCGAGGCCGTAATATCATAAATGACCCCTCACACCCCACCATGGACTGTTCTTCCTGCTGCCCTCTGGGAAGAGGCTTCGCAGCATGGGATGCAGGTCCAGCAGATTCTACATCAGCTTCTTTCCTCACTGCCATCAGACTGCTGAATGTTGTATAAAAGGGTGTTTTAAAAAAAAACAAAAAACGCTGAATGTTGGAAACTATAAATCATCGCTCAGTCTTATGTTTACATTTTATCACTGCTGCACTTTAAAAATGGAAATCTCTTGAGAGCTGTACGGAACAAAATTTCGTTTTGTATACACTCTGTGTGTACAACATGACAATAAAGTTTTTCTAAATCTAAGTCATCTGGTAACAGTGGAAAGTATGAACTCGCCTTTAGGGACAGAAGGTAACGGATGAAAGAGTTTGCCCTGCAGCCAGAGGGTTGTCGGTTCAAGCCCCGGCTTTGGCTTTCAGTGTCATTGTATCTTTGACACTACACATGCATTGGCTGCTGATGGTGGTCAGAGGGACTTATGGCGCCAGTGTACGGCAGAGCCGCTTCTGTCAGTGAGCAGTGACTGCAATTTAATTTGCCACCATCAGTGTGTAAGTGAATGGGTGAAAGACTGAATGTAGTGTAAAGCGCTTCAGTCATCTTTAAATGTTGGAAAATGTAGGAGTAACTCATTCTCTTTTGATTTTCACTCATACATGCTACGAAGAAGGAATTAACAAGTTTTAAAGAGCAGAATGCAGCACAGACTGTCCAGTGAGCCAACATTATTATAACATGTTCAGGTTGGTTTGGATCGAGTGTCTCTCCTCACAGTTCTCTACAGGGGATGACTGGAATGTGTGACCTTGCAGTTCCAGCTCATCAGGACCAATCAGAAGGAGATGAAAGAGGAGCAGACTCCATGAGGAAGATCCAGATCGTTAGCTCTCTAAGTGTAAAAATCAGGCTCACTTTCTCTGCCTTTTTATGATCCAGTCCAAGTTTGTTCTCTAGCTCACACATATCACTGCTCACATCATTGGAGAAATCCTCGTATGATCCTTTCCATCAATCTGTTAAAACCCTTAACAGGAATATGGTCATGCACATGGTCCAGAACTTCAAGTGTCACCTGAATTTCAGTAAATTAAGTGAACAGTGGATAATCTTTATATCATGGCATTCTTTTTATCATGGTCCTTTCTATGAATGTATAAATGTTGTTGGGTTAAGAAGGATCTGTAACCGGATTAATTGGCTGGTATACATTTATTTATTTATTTATTCAAATTCCTAAACACAAACCACCTTAAGATGAATCCATCTAAAAGAAAAAAAGACAAATAAAACATGATGAAACAGACAGATATAAGAACATTATGTGCGATTTTGTTTGATAAATAATCAATTATTATTTGAAATTATTATTTGGGGAAAGTTTTTGGATTTTATCTTATTCTTTTCCAGAGCTCCCTTCATCATCACAAATTTAATGAAACCTACAGCTGATTAATGGATTAGTCTGATGTGTAAATTTAGATAAAATCATGACCTAATTAATACATCTGATTTCCTAAGGAACATGTTGTTGTTTAGTTGTAATAACTCAGTGTAACTGATTTCTAAGCAGCTCATTCCAGCACTGGTTCTCCGCTTGGTGCTGATGCGCATGCGCCACCTGTGCAGCCATGCTCCGTGCTACAGTTCACCTGTAGTTCCAGCTCTGATCCAGCAGGCTCGGCTGCAGCTGTGTGCAGCCGTTCCGTTCCGGTCCTCCTGAGCTCTGTGTGGTGCTGTCTCTCTTTCTTCTCTCTCAGCTCCAAACCGCCTCCATCGCTCCCCACCAGCAGCGGACTGAGCAGGCCCCTCACAGCCGCTACACGGTGCCCCCTAGCCGGGCTCATTCCAGCCGCACACCCCGGCAGGTGAGACTGCTGCTGGTTCCCCGGACACCAGCGGGGCCCTCCTGACCCCCCCTGTGGGAGCCAGATCCACGGAGCGCCCCACGGCTGCGAACCGGAGCTGTGATGAAACCATAAACAGAGTGCGACACGCACGCACACACGCATGCAGACACAGCATAAACGGGGCCGTGGGATCGCGCTTGAACTTGGCCGTTTGGCCCCCTCTGCGTGAGAGCCGGGGGGCCGCGGAAGCATCGGGGCTCCGCTGCGCTTTTTGGGGAGGTTATTGTCTGTGGAGGCTGACGCGCTCTTCGCAGCGGCCCCTGCGCTGTCAGACGAGGAAGTGAGGCTTCATACACGCCCATCGGAGCAGCTGAGAGCCGTTCATCAGATAACAGCCGTGGACTTTATCAACATGCGCTCACTTTCTGATGGAGAGCTCCGGGAATAAGCTGGGCCACGTTTCCTGCAGGTAGGTGAGCGGAGCGCTTTACGCAGCGCGCAGGCTCCCGGTGTTTTACCGTCAGACTTCAGCACCGTGAAGGCCTGGCTCCATCTTTTTTCTGTCTTTTTCTGATAGTCACGTGCATGCTCTCTGGCCTAACTGTCACCAACGTGCAGGGCTGCATCAAAGCGGGGCCGCGGGGCCAGATGTCAGCATCTGGAGCGGCACCTGCCTGCCCGATGATGATGGGGTGCATTTAACTAAGCTCTGGCTGCAGACGGAGCAAACATTTTAAGAGTAGAACCCCCAGCGATGAGACCCGAACCAATGTTTTCATCCGTTTCGGGGATCTGGAGCAGGGCTTCAATCTGTAGAGGGGCCACAGGGCTTCAGGGGGACATCTGATCTTAAAACCTGCACAAAACCTCAAAGCTAGGCAATTATTTAACGTTGCAACATATTGGAAATCTTTGGTTTACATGCACATTTTTGATAATTAAAGAAAACAAGAGTACAGCAAAGAGGAAAAGGCGTTCTTAACACTTAGTAAATAACATTTGACAAAGAAAAATAGCATTGCAGTAATTTTGTAGTGAACTGGAACTAAATTATCCAAGCTTTAACCTGAGATAAATAGATATAAAGATAGAGAGATAGATTACAAACATCCCAGTGTTTTTTTTTAAACCTTCTATGCAATGCAATAAACTAAAAAAGAAACAATTTGTTCAGGTTTAAAGAATAAAATGTGAAGTTAATACAGCGGTACAGATGACAAGAGTTTGGATCCTCTTTAATAAGAAGCCACACTTAAAAAAATCGTGCAACTGCTTTTGGCCTTTAGTTAATCATGTTTTGTTACTTTAACACAATTGTTTTATATCCTACCCTGCTAACATGACACAATTGTGTTTAAATAACTAAATATGATTAAGTAAATGTCAAAAATGGTTGCATTATTTTTTTCAGTGCATATAGGCTCCTAGAGGCTGGCCTTTTAATAAAACTAAACTACACAGACAGGGGGGATGGCCTATTGTATTAAACAATTGGTCAGTTATTGTTAGAAGCAAACAAATTATCCTGTTTTATGATCAAAAACAGGATTTCTATTAATAAGCTGCATGGCAGCTTATTGCAGCAACACAACAAACCAACAGAGAGCAGAGCCAGGCTGGAGGACAGGAAGTGGTAGAAGCTTTACTGTTAAGACAGGTGAAAGAGTCACGTTAGAAGTGTTACAACTGGTACAAAAAAACCGTCACAGAAAACACAGTTCGTCTTTTTAGCTGGTATACACTGAGAAAATAATGCAACCGCTTTTGGCATTTACTTAATCATATTTAGTTACTTTAACACAATTGCTATATGTCCTACCCTGCTTATGTGAAACAATGCTGTTACAGTGACTAAATATGATTAAGTAAATGCCATTAGGTGTCTTCATACACTAGAAAAACAATCTAGAAATAAGTAAAAATGTCCTAAATTAAGTGTATTTACTCTTATTTTGAGTCGGTAAATGAGATAGTTTGCCAATGGAATGAGTATATTTACTCTTAAAATAAGATAATTAGATGATATTTTCTTGAAATAAGACAATGCAATTGTGTTTTCATATTTTAAGTGTAAATTGTCTTGTTCCATTGGCAAAGTGTCTCTTTTACCTCCTCAATTCAAGATCAAATGCAATCATTTTAAGAAAAGATGACTTATCTAGATTTCAATTTTTTCCAGTGTAAACATAGTTTATGAGAATATTACCTGATTTGAATGTGTTGTTTATGCACAACCCTGCAGATAAATGTCTCAACTAAATCCATGTCAGAATACACATGTGATAAATATCAGAGAATGTTTTTTCTTTTTATTGTTGGGTTTGTTCTCCTCCACCAGCTTGCAGCTCCAACTCAAACAGAAAGGCTCCACTATCACTACTTTCAATATCTGTAACTAACTGCTGTTCTTTAACACGATCACCCTCCTGCAGCTTTCACCTGGGTGCTTATTGGCCGGTTGTGTAGATTAAGGATTTTCAGATATATTTCTTCACATTTGGCAGATATTTCAAGGCATTTTCAGTTTTTAACACAACTGAAAAAGAAAAAATATGTAAATCCCATGGAAATGTCTTTCAGCATCAGGTGTCATGGTTTGTTCTAAGGCAGTGATTCCCAACATGCGAGTGCATTGCAACGGTTACATGATGATGTTTTATATCACGGGTAATAAAATAAAGTAGGGCTGGAATTTGTTCTACTTTGTGAGGACCCAACTAAAAAGATAACACAAACCTTTTTTAAACCAAAGTAACTTCTTTTAATATGTTTGAGTACAGCTTCAGCTTTGAAACCCATCCAAAGCAAGCAGAGGAACAGCCTGGAATCACACCTGATTCCAAAAAAAGAAAATTAAAAACAAGGAAGTGGACTTTATATCCAAGTTTCGCTTCCAGTCCAGGGAACTTTTTCAATTCAAAATGTCAGGAATAGCGTTGTTTTTGTTTTGAAAACATGCAAATTGAAATGGACCAACGGGTCCACTCCTTTGGAATGGGGGTCATTTGGTTTCTTTTGTTAGCCTGCAATGCCCCATATGCGTCTAAGCGTCTGAAAGGGGGGTCGTTAAAGGGAATTGTTGTTAGGAGAGGTCCTCCGCTCTCCTGTACAGGGGCTGAGATGATAGCAGGAAGGGATCCATCCAATTGCTGCATTGTAGGTTTTTGAAAGCTGAACATAGATGGCTTCCTTTACACCCCTTCTGTTTCTCACACCTGATCAAAGCAGCTCAGGTGTCATGTATGATGAAAAAAAAATAAAGGAGTTTAGTCTGGCTATAACTTTTATTCTGTATTTTGTTTTCAATTCCTCAAGTTTATATGCAATTACAGGAGAGTTACTCAGAGGAGCTCCAGTTTTATAAAGGCTGATTTATAATATGAATTTATTTTGATTCCTTACTAGCTTCCAGGCAACATATGTATGTTTTTTTTATTTTTTTATTTGAGTTGGAAAGAATAGCATGCCAAACAATCAAATGCTGAAGTTAAAAAGATTAAATAAAATACTTTTAACTTTATAATCAGGTATTGTACGTTTAGTTTTTGGGCAGTCACCAATATTTTTGACCTCCCACCTGCAGGCAGCTGCAGAACTGCCAACACTTACTAAGATGAGGCAAAAATAAATGTTTATTGCCAGGTTGAGCAAGTTAGAGAAAATAAAGGTAAGACAAATGTGGACATCTAATGCAAGCAAAAAAAAAAAAAGAAAAAATCAAACACTGTCAAGCAAATTAAAGGAACCGAAATAAATACAAAGATGACGTCTAAAGGCTGCTGATTCTCCCACCTGCTTTGTCACACCTGTGTTATCAGCAGGTTATATCTGCTTAATTCCGGACAGATTAGATCAGCACGCATACATCAGTGCAAATACTGAATCTATTAGGTTTAACATGGAGGTTTGCAACAGCGACGTACACTCAAACAGTTCTATATCGCCTTTAGTCAGAATAAGATATAATGGATCCAATAATATTTTTATTAACAGCTTAAAACTCTTTTTTTTATATCAAATTTAATACTCTGTTACAACTTCAGGTTTACTTTGGATTGGAAACCATTGTGATGTATACCATTTCTTCATTAGACTTCTTTTTTATGTTGATAGCAGAATTGTTCAGCCTGTTTAATTAGAAAAAAAAAAAAAAAACGGTGATTATAGTTCCCCAATTAACATTTAATATTCAAAACTTGCATTAAAGATTGTGATCTGGTAAGATGTTAGAGTTCGGTCTTTTATAACCCAGATCTTTTTTTTAACTCCAGACAACTTTCTCAACATTTCTCCAAACATTCTGAGGATTTTCCACACTTTTCAGTTCACATCTTCATTAAAAAAGAGTTAGATCATTTTGCTCCTTGGCCAGACAGTGACGGATTAAATATGTAAACTAGCCACCGCAAGTTATTTTCACCAACGAGTGATTCATTGGCTGTCATTGCCGCGGTTGGGTTGGTGACACTCGACACCATCAGTTTAAGCTCCAGCCATGTGTTTGGATCAGAGCCAGAGGGGTGGTTAACCCCAGACAGTAAAAAGCCCCCTGAGGCCAATATAGACATGATGCAATCATGACGTGGCTGAAGATCAGCGGTTTTATTTGTGAAACTGTCTTTTTTCTGTACATCAAGAAACACATTTTAAAATCAGGTTCTAACTATTGTTTATGGAAACAAACAAAGGAAACAGTAGGATGAAAAATATGATCTGCTAACCTGCTGGTTTTTACAGCAGCAAGTGGCTGCTGTTCAGATGCACCAACGCAGGATGAGCGTCAGAAGTTGATCTAGAGAACAGGTGCCTGTAAATGCATCACCTGTGACCTTACAGCCTGTAAATCGATGATCTTAAACCATCTGATGCACATGGTTCTACCAAGAGGAGGACTGTTCTCAGAGGAAACCATTTCACACAGCTACCAGGACGCCATGAATGATTCAGCCCAAAGTCAGAGCATCAATATAAAACCCAAGAGGTTAATCATAGAACCTATAGGCTTAAGTTCTCAGGTTAGAGGTAAAAATTTTTGCAGCAGGGCAGCTAGAAAAAAAGAATAAACAATCACAGCTGTTTGAGAGCAATGGAGAACAACCAAACACATCATCACTGTCAAGCATAGGAGAGGAGGAGTGATGTTTGGGGCTCTTCGCAGTCTCTTGGTCCAGACTAGATCATTAGCTGAACATAGAAAATAGAAAATCCCTTTATTGTCCCACAATGGGGAAATCTTTAAAGCAGCAACAAGATTATAGAAAAAATGTTTGAAGACGTTTCGCTTCCCGTCCAGGAAGCTTTTTCAATTCAAAATAGCAAATATTCGAAATAGCTTTATAGAGTGAACCAAAGCAAAACATTCAAATTGAACCGGACGCGGGGGTCCGCCCCCTTTTTTTTATTTGTTATCCTGGAATACCTATTTCTGACATTTTGAATTGAAAAAGCTTCCTGGATGGGCAGCGAAGCATCTACAAACTTGGAAACAAAGTCCACTGGTTTTTTTTTTTTTTACTTTTTTGTGAATGGCTATGATCTGGATGACTGAGAATCTTCACCAGCAGATTTATTGAAGGTTTAATGGTCATTAAACTGTTTATTTCTGTTTGTCTCAGTTTGTTTCAGTGTTGAATGATGGACAAGGAGCCAATACAGCAGAGCCAATCAGAAAAGGCTGCCAATGGCTCCGCCCCCTCCACCCCTACAACCCCCACCCCGCCACGGCTCATCCCCAACCCCATGCTCCTGGACTCCCCTGCGCCCACTCTAACTCCCACCACCTCCTCCCCTCCTCCCCCCCTCACCCCTGCTCCCTCTGTCTCCTCGGCCCACGGACCGAAGGCGGCGGCGTCGGGCGGGGCTCTGTCCCCTCACATCCTCGTCTCAGCTCCACCTAAACTCACCTCCACGGCGGCCCCCGCTCTGCGGACGTACTCCCGCCCCATCCTTCCCTCCCCAGCCAACAAGGCTTCTCCTTCCACACAGTCCTCCTCCTCCTCTTCTTGCTCTGCTGTCACTGTGACCGCAGCTTCCTCCCTATCCTCCTCCTCTTCATCGGGCGTGACGGCCAGCATCACCACGACTTCCACCAAGACCTCCACTAGCCTCACCAATGGGAGCACCAGACCTGGGCCCACCTCCACGGCCATTACACCGTTTCACACCCCGGCCAGCCCACCTGGCCGACAGGTGAGTCAGCATTTATTATGGATCCACCTGAGGACAAGTAGACCCTGATGAGGGAATGACATGGAGAAGCCTCATTAAAACCTGAAAGATAAAATTAGATATTTAACATCATGAGGTGACTAAATGGAAGAAATGAGGATGTTCATGGAATAAATTAAATTAGTATTAGATTATGGGATTATTGTTTAAAAAACAATGAGTATTATTTACTGTCAGACACTAGAAGTTATTACTGGGGTGTTTAAAACAGCAGGTAGATGATTATAAGGGGAGTTATTTACATTTCTGTTACAGTAAACAACAGTTTTTAAAATTAAGAATAAGAAAAAAACATATTTTGTAAATTTAAATTAAAAAATGCAATCCAAAAATGTGACTTTTTTTATTAAAGGTTTTTATTAAATTCGTAGGGAAGTCTTATTTAAATGTCAAATCATTCTGGCTTAAACATGTATATAAATATATTCTTTATCAGGCTATACATATGCTGGACATGATCTCAAGCCTTCACTGCTGAATCCGCTGATGAATCAGCCAGTGCAGAGATGGATATGCACTGAAAAAAATAATGCAACCATTTTTGGCATTTACTTAATTATATTTAGTTACTTTTAACACGATTGTTTCATGTTTGCAGGGTAGGACATAAAGCAATTGTGTTAAGGGAGCTAAATATGATTAAGTAAATGTCTAAGGTGGTTGCATTATATTTTTCAGTGTGTGCAGAGAAATATCGGCCAAAATCAATACAAAAATAAGCCAATATTGTATGGTTTGAATTTTATTTAGTTATTCTTGCAACCATAAAATGGGATTTGTACATAGAAATTGAAAGAATATGTCCAGGAAAGAAACTTTTGTGAACCTGTGCTAGCTTAGCTACTTTCCAGTATTTTGTTTTTTTATTACTATATTTTTTCAATTTTTATTTATTTATTATTTATTTATTTTTTACATACTTGTATTTTCAAGTTTTTTTCAAAACATTTTTAATGAATACTTTATTTTTTAAAGGTTAATTTCTTTTTTGCGTTTTTTCTTTCCTTTTTTTTATATTTAAATTCCGATCAACAAATTATCATAATTTTTTTTTTTGCTTCCAAAAACAATGGGAAAAATGTCATCCCATATTATTTACCAAAACCATCAGCCAAGTTTGGGTATATTTCTAACCAGAAGTGGTAAAACCATGCTGGGAAAACAACAATAAACAAACCAGAAGTTTTGATTGAACTTAAATCATAAAACTGAAATTCAGATCAGTAGTTTTAAGATCAGTCAATCAGTGCCCTCAACAATCACAAGTCTAGGGTTACTTACAGAGACTATAGTAGAGGTGAACTATTGATGATTCAGAAAGGAAACTGCATCACAATTCAGATACAGTTCAAGAATAATTGATAAATATTATTGATATGTTAAAATATATGCAGATGCATAATCATTGTAACGTACATTATTCCTCAGTTTGGGATGAAAATACAGAAAAAAGCAAAGGATAATTTGAATAATTAAAGGATAAGTTAATTATAGCAGCACTACTAGCTCCTGGGTGGATTGAAGATCATCGGCCATTAGGATCAATTATGTTCTCAGATTGCAGCTTTCATTAATTAGCATAAAAACAGTTGTTCAGAGCGCAGAGCAGACATCTTGATAAAATAATACAGCAAACACTGTTTAGAAGTAAGATGATAGCAGCTATTTGCCATGTAACATGATCTGATGTGCTTCAAAATGCTTAAAAATAAATAAATAAGACGCTGATTAGATGTAATATGATTGGATTATTTAATCCGCTTGCATCTATACCAGCAAAAGAGGCTACTGAACACATCTATGTGAAATAGATAATTCAAGGTCAGTTGAATGGAAATGAAAAGGTTTTATTAAGAAAGAAAAAAGAAAGGCAGATGTTTTATAGAAATCAGAGGAGAATGAGACAAATGGAGGAGAGGTGGAAGGAAGTAGTTTTAAGACGTGGTAATGCACACCTACTGAACTGAACTGAAATCTCTTCCAGATCTGAACAGATCTATGAAACCATTGCTCAATTCAAGGCTGTGAACATTAATCATGTGTGTTATTATTCTGTGCCATTTTAATTTTTTTTGTGATTGATAAATGTTTTTCATGTTCTAGGGACAGGTCAGTTAATTTAGCAGCTAGCTAGATGGCCCATAAACATCCATCCATGTTCTGTTAAGCTTTATCCCTGCCGGTGCCTATCTCCAGCAGTCTATGGGTGAGGGGTGGGGTCCACCCTGGACAGGTCGCCAGTCCATCACAGGGCAACACAGAGACAAACAGGACAAACAACCATTCACGCACACACTCACAGCTAACGAGAATTTAGAGAAGCCAATTAACCTAACAGTCATGTTTTTGGACTGTGGGACGAAGCCGGAGTACCCAGAGAGAACCCACTCATGCTCAAGGAGAACATGCAAACTCCATCCGAATGAGAATCGAACCCAGAACCTTCTTGCTACAAGGCAGCAATGCTATCCAATGTAGTGATTGGCCAACCACCATTAAATTCTATAAGAAGAAGAAAAAGCTCTACAGCAATATAATATATAATAATATGCAGAACATAGAGACCCAGGCTGATTGCAGATTCAAGCTTAAACCAAACATTTGCTGTTTGTTGCTGTGTGAAGAATTAGCATCAAGGTTTGTTTTTTTTTTCCGGGAGTTTTATTGATCAGTATCAAATTGAAAAGAATCTTCTAGTCCAGGGGTCTTCAACGTTTTCCAGGCCAACCCCCATACTGATGGTGAGATGGAGCGGGGACCCCCTAATTATATATATATATTGTATAAAGTTGTGTTATATTAAACTGGTCCTATAGTTACTCCATTACAGATGGAGTCATGTAATGAAATTAATTTCTTCCTGGGATTATTGAAGTATTTCTGATTCTGATTCCTGGTTGATGGGACAGGTGTTGTGAATGAAACGGTGCCCAGCTTATTAATGTGTATTTAATCAACTAAAACTTTCGATACCCCCATGCAGTACCTCTGTGGACCCCTAGGGGTAGCAGACCCCCTGTTGAAGACCTCGGTTCTAAGCCATTAAAGACTCTGGTGACCATACATAAAAACAGCCTGATTTACGGAAAAGCATCAAGATGAAGACATTTGTTGTGTTTTATTGGAATTGTAGCTGAAATACCAACACAAAGTAGAGAACAGTTGTTTTGTGGAAGAAATATCATGTTTGAACCTTTCAACATTTTAGCATTCATTGCCTCTGAGTTAATCATTTCTAAGAAGAAAGCTTCTCTAGCTAATTTCTTCACCTATTCTTCTTCATAGAGCAACTGTGGTTATCGTCTTGCAGGAAAGCAGGTTTTCTTCCAGGAATCTCCTGGATTTATTTCCTTCCATCTTCCTATCAGCTGTTCCCATATTTCAGCAATCACTTTTTTCTTGCTGCTCCACCAGATCTGTAAAGTGAAATCTAATAGTGTTTTTAGTTGGCAGGTTATTCCAGCTGATCTTTGCAGCTTCCTCCATGTCACCTTTCTTCTCTTGATTAAAGCTCTCCTTGTCCAGTCGGTCCATTCAGGTGGACATCCTCCATGTTCTGATCAGTTGGAATGCGCAGCAGTAGATTATTATTAAATTAAAGATGGCTGGATTAACAAAGTATATCCTGAGGTCGGTAAAATTAGATTAGATTATTTAGGGGTCAGAGTTATAGTTGATCATAAATGCCTGTTTTAAATAATGCATAATTTTCCATCTACCTCATGGTTAAGGATGCTTAAATCCATGTGAAAGTTTTTTCTTTGTTTGTTTTAATTCCCTGCCTGCAAAGTAAAGGGCATTAACACAATGTGATGTTATGTTTAAGGCATTTCTCTTTTAAAGCCTGCAGGGAGTCTGTCTCCTCTGGTGGCCTTTTCAGTTTGTGGCGATCACAATGTTTTCTGATAAAACTTAATTTTGCTTCTTGATGTTTCAGAGGATTGGTGTTTTAAGCGGTCCTCCTTAATCTACAGAAGTGCTCTCTGCAATCTTGAGAGTAAATTCCCTCTCATCACCGCTCCTAGGTTTGAGCTTTTCCTTCCATCCGGATCTTTCCACCACTTTATTTGGACCCTTTCTGTTATTTCAGGACATCCTTAGATGGGGTCGCATTCTTGTTTTTATTTTCTTGACATGGTCAACTTGACATGAAATTCCGACATTTTTCAGTTTCGGTCCTCCCAGAGGAACAGGCATGTTTAGACAAATATTTGCTCATTTCTGTCTGCATGTTCTGCACGGCAAAAAAAGGTTCTGCGTGTGATGAAATCCTCCATCAGCAGGTCTGCTTTCCTTGAGATTTCCAAACATGGATATAAATATTCAGGAACTACAGAAAGGAGCAACTTTATAGACTCTAGCTGGGATTAAACTATTCAGAACTAAATATATAAAAGAGAAAAACATTTTTCAAATAAAACTTTGTGATTTAAGCTTGCATTTCTCCCATCAGTCACCATTAACCTAATGTCTTGATGACCAAATAAAAGCTTTAAAATAGAATTGAAGTTGAAATTGTTTAAGCTTAGACAAATTGAACCCCAGTCGGCCTCAGCAGATGGCCGCTCAGCCTGAGCCTGGTTCTGCTGGAGGTTTCTTCCTATTAAAAGGGAGTTTTTGCTCTCCACTGTCGCTACAAGCATGCTTAGTGTGAGGGATTGCCTTCAAGTCAATGAGTCAATGCAATCAACTGGTTTTCTTTAGATAGAAAACTGAATCAATTTGACTGGATGATCTGGTGAACTGTAAAGGGCCTTGAGATGACATGTGTTGTGAATTGAATTGAAAAGTCAGATTTCCTTATTTTGCTCTTGTGTTTTTTATACGAGTCTCTTGTTTTTAGTGCTGCTTTACAAAATGTAACAAATACATAATCATCAGCATCTTAAATACCTGCTTATAGGCCATGATATAACAGCTGGTGATGACTCACACTCTGCCAGCCAATCAGATTGTCAGGC